CAGGAATCACCCTTTCCCTCACAGGACTGGGAGCATCATCCTGCCCCACCCAAACCCCTGAACCCCACAGAGTTCTCAGCCACGAGCACCCATTTCACAGGCTGGGCAAGCAGAGAACTGGCCCCAGTCCCACGAGAGGACTGAGGGACCCACGAGGACAGGCTGGGCCAGCTCCATCCCATCACCACCACTGTGCATGCCTCCCCCACTGTGGGGTTCCCTGTGGAGTATCACCCCATGTCCAGGATGGACTCGCTTTTGGGGAGGTCCTGTTTGGGGGCAGGGGAAGGGGTGTCCTTCGGCTCCCCAGCACCCAAGGCAGTGCCAAATGAGGAGGTACCAGTGTCTGAGCAGCACCCACAGGCACTGGGCAGCCACGCCAACCTCCAGCAGTGGTGGGTTTTTAAACAGCATCGACCTTCCTACGCAAATAAAGCTTTCTGGGATTTTCAGTGGTGTGCTGGTGATCTGTCTCTGCCAAGAACCCTGCAACCAGCTCCTGCTCCCAGCGGGGCCCCAGTGTGTTGGGGGGGACAAGGCACAACCACCCTGTGGGGACAGGAGCCCTGACCTGCCATTAGTCACAGATGTCATTACCTCCACGGGTGATTCTTCCAACAGCACGTTTATCTGCCCCGTGGGAGACGCCAGCAGGGATGGGCAGGAGCCCCCCCACAAGCTCCCAGCCCCATGTCCCATCACTCTCCCTCCCCACCCAGCTCTGCAGGGTGCTCCCCATGGTCACCCCAGCCCCTTTCCACCCCATCCAGGCTTGGTCAGGAGACAGGACCCCGGTTGAGGCAGAGGTGGGGACAGGGGGGCTCTGGCTCTGTGGTGGGGCTCAGACACCCGAGCATGTGCAGCCTCCCGACAGATGAACCTCCCTGCTCGGCCCCTCGGCCCCTGCAGGCTGCTGGCTGGGCCGGTGCCAGCCTTACAGAGCTGCCAGCTGTGCCGGGGGGCTTACGCCAGCCCCGCAGTGCCACCCGGGGCCAGGGCTTTTGTCCCCAGCTGGTGCAGGGGCGGGCAGAGCCCGCAGCTGAGGGCTGAGCGCCCAAGCAAACATCAATCTCCCTCTGTCCTCGCGGCCAAGTTTCACAGACCGGCTCTGTTGGTACCTCGCAGCCCCATCGCCCGCCCGGCCCCACCGAGGCCTCGGGAGGCAGGGAGGAGAGAAAGCAAGCTGCACCCACGCTGCTTGGGTCCTGGGGCTGTTCTCTAGAGGGGACAAACGAAGCTTCCCCAGGGGCTTGATCCCATCCCCACCCCAAACCTAGAGGGGATGCAGCCAAGGGGAGAGCCGTGAGATATCTCACAGCAGTGCAGTGCACCCAGGTCCTTCACTCCCTGCTCTCCTTTCCTGCCTTGCTGGATGTCGGTTTGGAATAAGCCCTAAGCCACTCAGCTCCGGGAAACAGAGCATCCCAATAAAAATGGGAAATGTACAAAATCAACACATCCATCCTAAGCCCAAGCCCCCATGCCCCATGCACTGGTTACTGCAAGGCAGGGTGGCTCATCTCTGGCATTAAACACTTCCAAAGGCATGAGGGGAGCACTGCCCCGTGCCCCCACAGATCCTTGTGATTTGGGTGTCCCTGGGGAAGTTTCAGGGTCAGGAGCAGCACTCAGTCCCTGCCCAGTTTGGACTGGGAGCTGCTGGGACACCCGCAGAGCTGCAGGGCTGTGCCTGCCCTCCAGCACACAGCTCCTCACACCCTGGGGGCAGCAGCAGCACCCAGCCTGGGGGTGCTGAGCCCCATGTGCTCCCACAGCGTGGCCAGGGGTCAGCCCAGGTGGCTCCATCCCCCAGCAAAGCCCACAGCCTTTGGACAGAGTCGGTTTTCCATTCCCCACCCAAGGCTGTGCGTTGGGGGAGGCATCCCAGCCACCACAGGAGGCAGCTCTGGGCACAGGACCAACAGCCATGGCCGAGTTAATTACTGATTTAAAAGGAAGTTAATGAAGTTAACACCAGGTTAATTGGGCTCCAAGACAGCAAAATGAGCATCATCAGCACTGGCAGCTTCCCGACAGCCTGCCAGCACCATGCCCAGGGCCAGGAGCATACACGGGTTTGGGGCAGCCCTTGCCAGCCCCAAAGGCTCCTTGGAGGCCCTCTGTGGGTCCAAGGAAAAGTGCCCTTGGCTGGGCACTGCACTGGCACACCAGCCAGGCCCCTGCTCTGCCAACCACAGAGGGCCTGATCCTGCTGGAACCGAGCTCTGCCGCTGCCCATGGGCAACATCAGGGTGCCCAACCTTCCCTTGTTGCCCGTCTCCTTCACTCATCCACAGCCTGCAGCTCCCTTGGGGCAACACCAGCTGCCAGAGGTTTAGCCAACCCTCCTGTCTGGATGCAGCAATGCCTGCAGGACAGCGTGTCCCACAGTGAGCAGGACTCCGGGTTTGGAGCCTGGAGAGTGCCATGCACAAGGGACAGGTGACAGCTCTGCTGGAGCTCTGAGCAACCCCTGCACATTGCCTGGGCACAGAATTGTTTTTTTAAAGATAATATCAAGCTCTAAAGTCAACCAGGCAGTTCTGAGTGGGCCAGGGCTGCCCCTTACAAGTGGGGAAATGGACACAAGAGGAAAGCACCAGGAGCTGCTGCTGGGATGGGCTGTGCCAGGGGCACTGAGCCCTTGCAGGACCACAGACCCACAGGGACAGGTACCCTGTGCCAGCACCCCAGCCCTCAGCACAGCTCTGCCAGTGCTGCCCCCAGGACAGAGGAGCCCCAGCGCACCCCTCTGCCACCCAGGCCGCAGCAAAGCACCCCTGCCTGTCACCCCCACCAGGGCCCTGCCAAACCCCACACCAGCAGGGCCACATCCCTCCCACCCCCAGCACGGCTTTGGGGCCAGCCTGCACCACTCTGGGGACACCAGCCAGCACATGCAGCCCACAGGGCACCCTACAGCTCCCCAGTGCAGGGGTGTAGGTGTGCCAGGCGGACACCTGGGAAGCAGCAGTGAGGGAGGGCTGGAACCCAGAGACAAGCAGGGATCAGCCCTGCAGCACTTCTGAGCCCTGGGAATACGGGATAACTGCCCAGCTCCAGACTGTCGTTGTGCACAAGAATAAAAACAAAGCCATGAGGTTTTCCAGCCCCTAGAGTGTCTTGTTTTGTCCGACTTTGAGAAATCTCTGCGCTTTGGCTCCCCAAGGGGCAGGGGGAGGACCCAGGCACTGGAACAAGGAGTGATTATCAACCCACAGGCTCTGAAGAGCTTTTGTTCCCTGGATGTGCCAGAGCAGGGATGGGAGGACACCTAGCGAGATGCCTGGATGGCCCCAGCACCAGAGGCACCCATGGCCACAACCCACAGCCCTGCAGTGCTCCCATCCTGCTCCCCTCCTCCTGCTGTGCTGGGGGCCATGGCAAGAGCTCCAGTGGGGCTGCAGGGGCTGGTCCAGCCCTGGGGAGAGGCACAGATGGGGAGAAGAATTGGCTCCTCACTTCCCACTGTTCTCACTGCTGCCTTGGCAGTGGGAGCCTCCATGGCTCCCTGACTGGCCACACATGATATCAATGATGACACCCCCAGAAATGTTCACAGTGGGTCCTGCAAAAAACAGGGATTAAATCCAGATGTGCTGACTGGCATCAGGTGCCCTTAGAGCTCTCCAGGTGCCGCTGACACCAGTGTTGCCCATTCCCAGAGGTTCTCATCTCAGCTGCCAGCCAGATGTTACTGTTGCAAATGGGGAAATTCCCAGTGATTGTGACTTATTCTCATAGCTGAACTTGCTGAAGAGAGACCAAAATCTCTGAGTGCATAGATCTGGATGGGCACATGCACCCCAAGCACAGACAGGCTGGATCCAGCCCCACAGGGTTCTCCACACATGGGCAGAGTGGTAGCAAACAGCCTGGCCATACCCCACGCTTTGGATCGGCCTCTTGCCAGTGGATCCAGCCCCAGGCTCTGATCCTTGGATCATGCAAGTGCAGAGCCAGACTTTGCAGAGACCCTTCGTGAATTGAGGGGCCCAGAACTGGACACAGGAGTTGAGGTGTGGCCTCACCAGTGCCCAGCACAGCGGGACAGTCACTGCCCTGGTCCTGCTGCCACGCTTTTGCTGGTACATTCCAGGTGCCATTGACCTCCTTGCCCACCAGGTGGGCACACAAGGCCTCGACCCTAGGGGCACAACATTCCCTCAGCACCTCCTAGTGCTGCAGCAACCCAGCCAGGCAGGAAGGGACCTGGGAGTTTGGATTGACAGGAAGCTGAACATGAGCCAGAGGGTGCCCAGGTGGCCAAGAAGGCCAATGGCACCCTGGCCTGGATCAGGAAGAGTGTGGCAGCAGGAGCAGGGAGGTGATTCTTGCCCTGCACTCAGCGCTGGTGAGGCCACCCCTGGAGTGCTGTGTCCAGCTCTGGGCCCTTCAGCTCAGGAAGGACATGGAGGGGCTGGAGCAGGTGAAGAGAAGAGCAACCAGGATGGGGAAGGGACTGGAGCACAAGTGCCGCGAGGAGAGGCTGAGGGAGCTGGGGTTGTTGAGCCTGGAGAAGGCTCAGGGGAGAGACCTCATCTCTCTCTACAACTCCTTGACAGCAGGTGGGAGGCCAGGTATGGCATCGGTCTGTTCTCCCAGGCAACCAGCAGCAGGACAAGAGGGGACGATCCTAAGCGGAGGTTTGGATATTAGAAAGAATTTTTTTACAGAGAGAGAGAGATGGAATGGGCTGCCCAGGGAGGGTGGTGGATTCGCCATCCCTGGACGTTTTCAAGACGAGACTGGCTGGTGGCACTCACTGCCACGGCCTCGTAACCGCGGATAAAGGGTCCGATCTCGGGGGGGGGAGGTCTTTTCCAACCCCGTTCCCACCCCGCGATTCCACGACCCTCCCGGCCACGTGACGCGGCCCTCACGTGGCCCCGCGGGACACGGGGGGGGCGGGCCTACGGGGCAGCGCTGCGAGCGGCGATTGGCTGCTCCCAGCGGGCCATCTCGCCGGCGATTGGCCGGCCGCGGCTGTCCGTCACGCCGCGGCAAGATGGCGCCGCCGGTGAGGGTGAGGGTGATGATGGTGGTGGTGGTGATGGCGGCGGCGGTGGCGGCGCTGGACAACGGGCTGGCCCGCACGCCGCCCATGGGGTGGCTGCACTGGGAGCGCTTCCTCTGCGGCACCGACTGCGCCAGCCAGCCGAGCCGCTGCGTCAGGTACGGGCGGGCTGCGGGGCGGGAGAGACCGGGGGGGTGGGTAGCGCGGGTACCGGCGCGGGCACGGAGGTGCCCGCGCCGGTACCCGCGCTACCCACCCCCCGGTCTCTGTGGCTCTGGTAAAGAGGGTGTGGGGGAAAAAGACGAGCTCGGCAGCCGGAATGTAGCTTTGCCACACCGCCCCGCTCCCCCGCGCAGCGAGCGGCTCTTCGTGGAGATGGCGGACAGGATGGCGTCCGAGGGCTGGAGGGACGCGGGCTACGAGTTCCTCTGCATCGACGACTGCTGGATGGCCCCCACGCGCGACGGGCAGGGCAGGCTGCGGGCCGACCCCAGGCGGTTCCCCGGGGGGATCCGCCGGCTGGCCGACTACGTGAGTGCCGCCCGCGGGTGGGGGTGGGAGGGTGGTCATGGCTGTCACCCGTGTCCCCCCCCCCCCCGCTGCCCCATGCCCAGGTCTCTCTCTCAATCTCACTCTCTCTGTGTAATTCTCTCCCTCCCTGCAAGCTGCAGGTGCACTCCAAGGGCCTGAAGCTGGGCATCTACAGCGACGTGGGGGAGAAGACGTGCGCCGGCTTCCCCGGCAGCTACGGCCACTACGAGCTGGACGCCCGCACCTTCGCCTCGTGGGGCGTGGACCTGCTCAAGTTCGACGGCTGCAACTCCGGCTCGCCGGAGAGGCTGGCAGAAGGTGGGCACGGGGCTCCAGGCAGCCGTTCCCCGTAGGTGGGATTTGCTCAGAAAAGCCAGTGCGAGGCTCTCTTCCCAAAGTGCTGAGTGTCGCTTGGCCCTGAGTGTTTTCTCCTGTCCTCACGGATACATCAGCTGCGTGCTCTGGTGGGGTGGCTGTGCAGGCTGCTCCTAACACGGCAGAGGTCTGGCTCTCCTGCAGTGCCTTTTCTGGGGAGCTCAGAGCGTGTCACACACTCAAACCCTCAATCCCCGCGGCGAGGCTGCGTCAACACGAATCAGCCTGAAGCAAGAACGGGTTGTGTCAGCCATGAAAAGGGCAGCTATGAGAGCTTTGAAGGGATGAAAATGGAGGGAATTATGGCATAATAATCCTACTGAGGTTTTCATTTTACCAGTGTAAGTATCACTTCAGAAATTATTTGCACGCGGGCTGGCAAGGCAGCAGCTGAAAGCTCAGTAGCTCCCTGTGCTGAGGGGGGTTGGCTACGGACTCTTTGGAAGCACAGGCAAATCCCAGTGCCACAGGAGCAGATTTGAGGGGAAGGACACTGTAACTTGGAAGGCATTTTTCTCTAGCCTGGGCTCTGGCTGCTGGCACAGTCAGCACCACAGCGTTTGGCAGCAGGAGTCCTGCAGAGAGTCCTGTCTCTGCCTGGCAGGGAGAACCTGCCCAAGTGACAACCCCATCGAAGCCAGATGGTGGGGCATATGCCAACTGCCACAGACAGGAGCACAGCTCAGCACCCTGAGTGACAGCTGAGCTGAAAGCTTCTGTTGGATCATATGCGTAGCCCAGATACAATCCAGTTGTACTGAAGCAGTTCCAGAGGAGAGAGCAGACTTCTCATTCCCTCCCTGCCAATTGGAAGGGACTTAACAGGGCTGTCTGGGGACAAGGACAGGAAAAACTAGTGCTTTTGCATTCCTGCCCAGTCCATATGGTGCAACTGCCACGTGAGAACATGTTCCTGCAACATTACCCAGCAAAGCTGCGCTGCTTGATAGGTACTGACTTGTATTTCCTGGGTATCCAGAGGGAAAAGTGCCACACAGTAAAGCTTTCAGCCTCTTCCATGGCTGTATGTACAAAGGGATCAGCAGTCTTGGGAGCAATAAGCCTGCCCAAGCAAAGCTGTGAAGCAGCTCACCTGTCCTTGGCAGGCAGGGGTCTGGCTGCAGCCTGAGCTCCCCTGTCCTCCCTGTGGTGTCTGAGCCATGGTGATGTGTTCAGCCTCGGGTCTGTGAGAGCTGAGCTGAAACCTGAACCTGTGACATCGGGTTAGTTCTGCAGAGGCTTTGAGGTTGTGTAACCTCTGTGTTCCCTTAGGTTACAGGCGCATGTCTCTGGCCCTGAACAAGACTGGAAGGAGCATTGTGTACGCCTGTGAGTGGCCTTTCTACCTGAGGCCCATGCAGCAGGTAAGAAGTGTTTCTCAAGGCTTATCCTGGGGCTGAAAGTGGGAAGAACAGAAAAAACATTAAGACTGAAAAACGGCGTCCTGAGGAATTCTGTTCTGGCAGAGACCAAGGTTGTACAGTGGAGGAAAAATACTTTTTCCTCTAGAGCCCTGAACTACACCTGAGGTGAGTCACTGCTCTGCTGAAACACATTCAGAAGGATCCTGCAGCAGGAAGGCACAGCCCAGCTGGAGGATGCCAAAAAAACCCGCAGCAGCATCCATCTGCTTTCTGTCTCCAGGGAACCAAGCAGCAAACCTCTGGCAGTGCAGACACACAGGCTCAGTGTTACTCCTCATGGACACAGAGAGTGCTGCAGACTCAGCCTTGCAGTCACCTCTGGGGACCAGGAGAGAGGTTTTGTGACATCCCCCACATTGTTCAGTGACACATTTCTGCCAGCCAGGGTCCGTGGCACACACGCTGCCCTCAGCTGGCTTCCCCTGTGCCATGGTGACAGAATGGTGCCATTCCCTCCCACTGGAATTAACTGTATTACTCAGCAAAGGGTGTAAACTCAAGAAATGGCAGTAATTATTGGGATATCACAGTTTAATTCCGCTGGCCCTGTCACACCCTCAGTAAAATTGCGCTGAAAGGAATTTTCTAACAGAGCTGGTGGCCACAACTGTCCTCCCAAGGGAAGCAGTTGTGTTGGGACGTGGCATACTGGAGTCCCTGGGCACAAAGCTTCCTTGTGGAATCAACATGCACCACATCATCCAGATAGCTGGTGATGGAAGGTGTTATCCTAATACTCCCCCAAATTACCCCTGATCCATTTAGCCTTGTGTACACTCTTCTTGTTGTACAGCCAGGTGCCCTGGCTAATCACACTCATTGTTTTGGCAGCCCAATTACACGGAGATCAAACAGTACTGCAATCACTGGAGGAACTTTTATGATGTCTACGATTCCTGGAACAGCATCAAGAGTATCTTGGAATGGACAGCTCTTCACCAAGACAGCATTGTGAAGATAGCTGGGCCGGGGGGCTGGAATGATCCTGACATGGCAAGTACAGCAACACCCACCCCTCCTGAAGCATCAGCAAAAATTCCTTCCCTCAGCTGTAGGCTGGGAAGGACGGGAAGGGAGGGATCTAAGGGAGAAACACTGAGGGGAAGGGATCTGATGGGACCCTGTAATCAGGATCTTGAGGAGAGGGTCCTGGCTGGAAAGGGGAAGAGAACTGCAGGTACAGATGGTACCGAGGAAGCACCATCTCAGTGTAATGCAGCCTCCACAAACAGCACCAGTTCAAAACACAGGTGTGGCACTGGGGGACAGTCTCCAAAGTGCTGATGTCCCACCAGAGGGAGAACCCCTGGGTGCCAGCGTTGCAAGGAAGGAATACCTTAAACACTGCCTAGCCACTTAAGGAGCCGCCTCTACTTCCACCAGTGGCTCATTCTAAATTGCCCCACTAGTCATGCCTTGTTTTTCCCTACCTGCTCCTGGCACTCAGCCTATCTAGCCAGGCTCCAGAGAGGGGGCCCACCCTTTGCACCCTGTCATTTCCCAGTGCTTGGGTTGGTGGCCCAGTTCCTGCTCTGCAGGCAGCGTTACCAGGCGTTTGTTTTCCTGTCACAGCTGGTGATTGGAAACTTCGGGCTGAGCTGGGACCAGTCGGTGACTCAGATGGCTATGTGGGCCATCATGGCAGCTCCCCTCTTCATGTCCAACGACCTGCGGCGCATCAGCCCCGAGGCCAAGTGTCTGCTCCAGAACAAGGAGGTGATCGCCATCAACCAGGACGCGCTGGGCAGGCAGGGATACCGGATCCTCAAGGTACAGCAGGATGGGGCTGGGGGTGCAGTGTGGGGCACAGGCAGCCAGCCAGCCCCTCAGAAAGGGGATACAGAGGTGCTCAGGGTTTGGGAGGAGAAGCCCAGAGAGCCTGTTTGTTCCCAAAGCCTGCTGGAACAGACAGTGTGACCATCGCTCCAGCCTCCCCTGACCCGAGCCCCGGGTTTGTTTTCTCCTTGGCAGGACAAGACCTTTGAGCTGTGGGAGAGGCCCCTGTCCGGCCGAGCCTTTGCTGTGGCAGTGCTGAACCAGCAGGAGATTGGGGGACCCCAGAACTTCACCTTCTCCCTCACCTTCCTGGGCAACGGGCTGGCCTGCAACCCCGCCTGCTCCGTGCGCCAGGTCCTGCCAGCCAGCAGGGACTGGGGCGTTTACAGCTGGATCTCCTTCCTGAGCGTGGAGGTGAACCCCACGGGCACCGTGCTGCTCAAAGTCCTGCCGCTCTAGCAGGCACAAAGACAGCCTTCTCCTAAGCCTTAGACTCTGTCTGAACTCCTTGAGGGACTCCCTGTGGCAGGAGTCTCCTTCCTCCAAGCAGGTGCCTTTGTTCTCTCCTCAGGTGTTCAGTACTTGAACTTCCAGCCAAATTGGCAAATACTCATCACTCCATCACCAAGAGGGAACAAAGAAAGGGATGCTGGTCTGCTATTTACCCTTTCTCTGGCATCTCACCAAGCTCCTTCTGCAAGGGGCTGGAAGGGCTCTAGCAGGGCAGCAACTCCTTCTACCAAGCAAGGAAAGGCGAGGGATACACATGCATCATCCTATAGCTCACCTTGAGCATTTCAGGGACAAAAGGGAAACACACCCTGGCCACCTTGCTCTCTTTTCCGGACCAGGGCACACAGTCCAAGAAAAGCTGCTCCTACCCCTCTGAAGAAACCCAACACTCTGCTCAGAGCATGGATATTTACTTTCTGACAACTCAGGGACTGGCCTAAATCATTGCACTTCACCAATGGCTGTTACTTCCCCCTCTACCCTTCATGTGGCCACTGGAGTTCCCTTCCTCAGTGAGCTGCCTTCCAGAGACAGCTGTGTGCTTGCTTCCACTGCTGGCAGCAACCTTTGAATGACACAGGTCCTTCCAGGACTGGAGGTGGATCATCACTTATGCAGCCATGCATGTACAAGTATGTTCTCTCCTGACCACTACACAGTCAGGATTCCTTCACCTGTTCTTCTGTGATTAAGCACTTTGATTAAAAGTCCCTTTAAAAGGCTAAGCTTTTTCTTACTTGTACTGGAGGACAGCATGGTGTCTGACTTAAATCAGGTTTTAGAAGACAGGCCAGTTTGTTCCAGTGACATAAAGTTTTGTGAAAGGACTGCCAGAAGCTGCACTCAGTGAAGCTGACAAGACACAGCCATACAGTCCATCCCACAGGCCAAAGCCACTGCTGCCTCCAGAACTTTGAAAATGCCCATCATGTCAGCCTATACTGAATAAGGAAAAATAGATTCTGTGACAGTTCAGTAACCACGTGTCTCAGTCACTATGAAGGTCTGAAGAGGCATTTCTCCATCCTCCAGCTGCATTTCCACTAAAAGGAAGTTGCTCTCAGAAGAGAGCTCAGCCTTGCATTCCCACCATCTGCTGACGGTACACTTCCAACTCAGAGGGAGCTGATGCTTCACAGGGATTATCCTGTACAAGGGAAGGCTGTCCTGCAACCTGCTGTGCTCCTGGTTGATGCCTGTTTGAAACTTCAGATCTCTAAGCCACCACAGCACCTTACCAGGCACCTGCCTAGTGGTGCACTGGCTGCTCGAAAGCCTGTGCTCCTTAGCTGTAAAAAAAAAAGGGGCCTCCAGCCAAGTGCAGGGGCTGTTCAGGGGAGTTCAGGTTCAAGGTAACACAGTAAGGAGATCCCAGCTATTGTGAGGGATTTTTCAAAAGCCTTTAGGTTTAAAATTGTTCTCTTAGTAAGCAGTCCTGCAGGCCAACACCTTCCTGCCAGGCTGATGTACTCACAACTCCCGCCCCATCAACACGAGGAAACACATAAAAACAAGCAATGGCTCACTCTAAATACTTTAATATGGTCCGTGGTGACGAGCAGGACGATGCTCAGAACTGGATCACCTGGCCCTGTAAGAAGCAAGAGACGCAGTGAGTTTATTCACCACTGAGTACTGCCCCCCTTTCTCAGCCACTCAGGGCACACAAACCCACCTTTCTCTTCTTGTCTCCTCCCAGTTCAAAGTGCTTGCACCTCTTGATTGCCAGCATCCTCTTGGACCTGCAGTTGGGCTCCACACACTCCAGCCTCAGCACGATCTTCTTGGTGGTCTTGGCCTGGGAGAAGGAGCAGTGTTTTAATGAACCAGACATCCCCAAGCAGACGAACTGCTGCTCTCAGAGAACCTTGTTACTCCTGAAGGCTAAGCAGTTTGTTCCCGTGAAGTGTAAAGAGAAACTACCAACAGAGGCTCCCTCCATTGAGAACAAGAAGGCACTTAAGGACCCGCAGGGGAATACAGTGGATCTGTATCTTTACAATAAAGGACAGTGGCAAAAGCATTCAGTGGGGCAGGGCTGGTCTCTGCAGGGATCAGCCCTGCTGGAAAAAGTTTGTGCCAGGGAACACAGGAACAGGCACTTGTACACTGTGGGAGAACAGACTGGCAGTGCTCAGGAGAAGCCCAGCAGAAAACTGGGCAGAAGAAACACCTGAAAGCAAAATGACCGACGAACTTTCTCTGGAAGGAGCAGTGACACAGCGGGCTCAGTGCAGACCCACAGCTCCTCGAAGCAGGATGACACCCAAAGAAAGACTACAGTGGGAAGAATCCAAAGCTGTGAGGGTGCTGTAGCAGATGGACAGGGCTGCAGCCACCAGCTAAAAACCTCAGCCAATTACCCATACAATGCTGACTGGGAGAAACCAGAAATGGGGATGGCAATGTACTGGTGCACAGTGCCAGCAGTGCAGCTGCTCGGTGCACCCTGCTTGCAGAAGCACTTTCTGAGAGCTCTCCCCACTTCCTGGCACAAATTCGACTCGAAAACCTGCTGTCTCATTTTCCTCTTCCTGCTGGAAGAGTTCCTGTATATCTCCAGCAGGACACCAGGGCTTTCCAGCACCAAGCTCTAGGAGCACAGCTGAACAGTTCACACAAAACAACGAACTGACCCACTGGGTTTCACCTCCCTGCTGCAAACCACCACAGGTTTTTCCCTGCCCCAGCTCTCCGGCAGGAATTCGCAGATGCACTGAGGGAAAACATGCTGCAGGACTGCAATGCTAGGTAGCCACACTGAAGAGGAGGGGTGATAGCAGCAGGTTTCTGCAGCTCAGAAGTTACAGGGTGCACTGCTGTCCTTCCACTGCTGCTCTGGGGCTCTCAGGAAAGGCCCAGCACAGCAGCTCTCGTTCCCTGGCTCAGCAGTACGGATTTCCCTGGAGACAGCAGGCTGTGAGAAAATGATGCTGTGCTCTGCAGTACTCCCAAGAGCTGAACACACTTGGCTCCCATCCCCTTGTCAGCCTTACAAACCCAGCAAAAAGTTTCAGAGAGAAACTGCTGGCGCTCCCAGGGGATGTCAGCAAAGCGAGGAGAAAGCTCCTTTCTCTTTGCCATACCCTCCCCTTGGGAAGCAATGATGAAAACACTCCTTCTCTGCGAGTATCCTTCCCAGCAAGACGCCACTCCCCTGCAGAGCGTGCTCTGCAAACACACCCTGCACAGCACAGCAAGGAGATGAGCACAGCACCTCGTGGGAGCCTACAGGGAAGACGGAGAGGGACTATTTACAATGGCATGGAGTGAATGGCTTCAAACTGACAGAGAGTAGGTTTAGACTGGCATTAGGAAGAAATTCTCCCCTGTGAGGGTGGGGAGGCCCTGGCACAGGTTTCTCAGAGAAGCTGTGGCTGCCCCATCCCTGGAAGCACCCAAGGCCAGGTTGGGCAGGGCTTGGAGCAACCTGGGATAGTGGAAGGTAGCAGGGATATTGGACCAAGATGATTTTTAAGATCCTTCCCACCCAAACCATTCCAAAAGTCTGCTGTGGAGGGGGAGCTCACACTGCCAGCACAGAGCTGTGTTAACACAGGGCAGGGCACAAGGCTGAGGAATCCTCCACCTGGGCTGCCAGGGAAGTCTCCTGTCCTTGTCCCAGGAGCAGCACTCGCTCACTCACCTTCTTACGGAAGATGGGCTTTGTCTGGCCCCCATATCCGCTCTGCTTCCGATCGTAGCGCCTCTTCCCTGTGGGAAGAGATGGCTCTGGTCAGGCAACAACTCAGGAGGTGCTGCAAGCACAACTCGTGCTTCCTAAATCCTGCACAGCCCACCTGCACCAGTGCCCCCTCCTCAGGAGTGGACCCTTTCCCTCGCTTTGCAAAGCCAACAGGGACCCGATTTATTCAGAGTTCTGACGGCTGGTAAATCCTCAAAGCCAGCACACAAAGGGCCAAAACCAGGAGCACATTTATAATTTTGTTCAAGTGATACCTGCATCGTTAACCCACGTCACTGCTGGCTGAGCTGCCACCCAAGTTCACTTTCTCTCGCCTCGATCTGAGGGTCCACACCATCTCCCGACTGAACATTTCTACACCCCAACCGCCCCAAACCAGCCCTGGACGTGTCATTAGTCCTTCTGCTGCTTTAGCTCCACATCCTTTAGCTCAAGCTGTTCTTCTCCCCACTCCAAACACACACACCCCCGCTCCCCTTACCCTGCGCGTACAGCGAGTCCTTCCCCTTCTTGTACTGCGTGACCTTGTGCGGCTGGTGCTTCCCGCACTTCTTGCAGTACGTCCGGCGGGTTTTCGGCACGTTCACCTGGCGGGGGGGTGGAGGGACACGATACACATCACATCACATCACAAGTCACGACTTGGCCCACCCTGCGCCCTTCTCTCCGGGGCGCCGCCGCCAAGATGGCGAGCGCCGGGCCGGGTTCCATCCGCCGCCATCCGCCCCGGGGACGGGCCCGTACGGGCCCGTCCCCGGGGCGGATGGCTGCGGATGGAACCCGGCACGTCCCTGGGGCGGACAGCGGCGGATGGAACCCGTCCCCGGGGCAGATGGAGGCGGATGGAGCCAGGCCCTACCCCACACTCACCATCTTGGCGGCGGCGTCCTGGAGAGAAGGAAGCTGGAGGGGGGGGGAACCATAGAGAGGAGGCGGCAGGGAGGGGACGGGGCGTGAGCGCCCCCTGCCGGTGGGAGGACCGCAGGGCGGCGGGTGGGGGAGTGAGATTGGGGGTGATTTGGGGTTTGGGGTCTGTGAGCATGGGGGGTGTCGGGGGTGACTGCGGTGACTGGGGATGGGGTCTGTGAGCATGGGGTGACTGAGGTGTGGTTCCGCACCCCTGGGCAGGGTGACCGATGGGGGGGGGGGTCTGTGGCTTGTAGGGGATGCTGGAGTAAGGGTCCGTGGGATCTGCGGGGTGCAGGTGGTGTCCAGCTGTTAGAAAGGTAAATTGCCTGTTGGTAGAATTGCCTTGCTAAGGTTTAGGGCTTGACACGACTCAATGACCTAGTGGGAAGTTACCAAAGCTTGGGGAGAAGGGTGTGCTGCAGTGCACTCAAAGAATGTAGAATTTATGGACCGCAAGGACACCTGGCAGAACTCCCAAGATAAGGAAAAAAAACTAATAAAGCCGACTCAGCAACTGTGTTGGAATTGGTTCCAATGTGGTAACGGGTAATTCTGGCAGGGGGAGATCACAGCCACCAACTCACAGACCACCAACCCAAAAGAAGAGAAAAACTGAGCATATGGACTAATTAGCATAAGAAGCGAGTGAATCATTTACCAATAGAAGATAGAATATTTAATTAATAAGAGAACGATGTAACTTGTAGCCAATAAACCTCAATGCCTTCATTTGCTAAAACGTTTATAATCAGTTTTGCAAGTTACTGTGCCGGCTTGGTGCCCCCTGCTCAGAACTGTCAATAAACCAAATATCTCAGCTCTGTGTGGGGGTCAGCCTTGTGCACAGAGGGTGCAAGAACCCATCTGGGGACAACATGGAGATAGGCAGCCCAGAGGAGCCTGGCGCTGCCCACAGCCTAGGGCAGGCTCTGGCCATGGCCATGGCCCGGTGGCCCGACGGTGATGTCCCCCTTGCCTGCAGGAGGAAACACAGATGCTGCCTTTGAGCCAGAAACCAGAAAAAGGGGAACCGAAAGGGTGGGGTTGGCCGGCCCCGTCCTTCCTCCCTCCCTCCCCGCGCGGCAGGCCCGCCGTCCCTCCCTGCTCCCTGCTCCACAGCCACCCCGACCCGAACCCGCCGGGGCAGCGGCGGCGCCGGAGCCCGGCTGGCCGGAGGGCTGGTGAGTGTGCCCAGGGCACGGCGGGGTGCGGGGTGACGGTGCCCTGGGTGTCGGTGGGGCCCTGTCGGTGTGGCCGTGGCACAGCCGTGGCGGCGGGACGGGACGGGACGCTCCATGTGGCCCATCCCGCTGGCCTCGCACCTCCGTCGGCCTCCTCGCGGTGCTGGGGGCGGGAGAGCCGTGCCAGGCGCGGGCTGTGTGGGGCCGAGGTGCGGGCGAGCCGAGCTGGGAAGGCTCGGCCTTGTCCCCACGGCCTGAACGGCTCCGAGCAGGCGGCATCGGACCCTGGGCACGGGGCTGGGGGGCCGTGGGGTGCTGCAGGGCAGGGGGGTGCGGTGCTTTGGGGGTCTCAGGGGTGCTCCAGAGCAGCAGGTTGGGGTGCTGACAGCGCCTGTGGCCATTCCTTGCTTGTGCTTTCGGCAGCGGGCACTGCTGGGGTGCAGCTCTGGGCTTGTTCACCCATCTCTCCCGTGCGGGATGTTTTCTCCTCTGTCCCTCCCACCTGTCGATTTTGACACCCTCCTTCAGGCTCAGCCTGAAACGTGGGGGCTGTGAAGTGTGTCATTCCCAGACACCCTGTCACCCTTCCCTCTTAGCCCCCCGCCAGCCCCACAGCCACTCAGCTCCTTGCCAGGAATGGGGCAGGGGGCAGAGCTTGCCTGTGCAGGGGTGGCCCCAGGACCGTGGTGGAGGGGGCCAGCAGTGTGTGCCAGGCTGAGGGTGGTCTCAGAGCACGCTTGGCTGAGGTGTGAGTGTGGCAGGAAGTCCCATTAGCTGGGGGGGGGCACAGGACATGTTTCCACCCACCCACTCACCACCTCAGCTGTCTGAGCATGGCAGTGATGGCTGAGGGGGTGAGTCCCATGGGGCACCCACCACCCCAAAGGAACAGCAGGTCTGTCCAACCTCTTGGCCTCTCCCAGAGGAGATGGGCTGTGGGGAGCAGGGGGGAAAAACAGCTTCTCCCAGTTTGCCTTCCAAAGCTGTGTTTGCAGGAGAAAAAAGGGAACAAGGTGTAGGTGAAGGGGAAGCAGGGAGCGTAGGTGGTCAGGGCAGGAGACATGGAGCAGGGCTCCAGGAGATCACAGTTCAGCTGTGGCTCCACAGAGTTCTCTCAACAGCTCCCCATGAGGTCCTGACCTGGAGTCAGGTGTTGGTCACACCCCACAGCTACAGCCACAGGGCTAGGGGGGGTGCTGGAACTGTCTGGATGTCACAGCTCCCAGGTACAGCGTGGAGAGACAGAGTGAGATGGGCAGGGCTGCTCCAAGAGATGGGCTGGGATGATTTCCAGTCCCTGAAGGCAGAGCAGCAGTGAGATGCAGGGCAGCAGTGGGATGAAGGGCTCTCATCTGAACCCTTCCCTGCCCCAGCCTGCCCTGGAGAGGCTCAGGACAGCTTTGTTGAGGAGGGCTGGGGGAGGACTGAACCCTTCTGGCTGTTGGCCAGAGGCAGCTCTTGAAGCCTGGCCTCCAACAAGTGCCGCTCACAGGGGAGGAAAGGGGGTTGAGCATTGTCCCTGCGCTCCTGCAGGGTCCATGGACACGGAGCTGAAGGATGACTTTAGGGCTACTCCATGCTCCTGACAGCACAGCACGTGACTCCTGAGGGCCAGGACCTACCCAGCACTTTTTAGGGATTGGCCTCCCGTGACCACCCCTTGTGCTCTGCCAGGTCAGCACGTCCCCACCACAGAGTGCCTGCGGTGGGGCGGGAGGAAACGGCCCACACAAGTGCACATGCAGTGTTGGAGGGGAGGAGGCGCCTGCGGGGTGTCACTGCCGGGGCTCCGTGCTCCTCCCCGGGGATATGCTGCTCACAGCTTCCCTGTGTCCCTCCCTCTCCAGCTGTCTGTCCCTCTGCACACCCTGGCAGCCTTTCCAGCATCCAGCAGGAGCAGAAGCCATCCGGGTGGTAGCTTGTTCTGCAGCCTGGTGTGAGAGAGGGGCCAGGAGAGGTCACGCTGCCAGTAACCCACACTGACCTGCCCACACCCCTCTGCGGACGGTTCCCCACACCGTGAGGGTCCCAGCGTCCCCTGCCTGCCCTTTGGGCAGAGAGGAGAGTGCACCTGAGGGAGGTCCAGCAGTTTCTGGGCCGAGCAAGTGCCCTGTCAGTGTTGTCTTGCCCACAGCAAGCACAGCGTGGAGGAGGCCGGGGGGGCTGACATGGCCGGTGTCCTCCTGGAGAGCATCTTCCTGAAGCGCTCGCAGCAGAAAAAGAAAACTTCTCCCCTCAACTTCAAGAAGCGCCTGTTCCTGCTGACAGAGAGCAAGCTGTCCTACTACGAGTATGACTTTGAGAGGGGGGTGAGTCTGCAGCCACGGGGGCTGTGCCGTGGCAGTGCCCGGGGGTCTCCAGCACCCAGCCCGAGGGGTGGTTGGATGGGGACAGGGTTTGGTTTGAGTCTCTCCAGGTCTCCCCTTTGGTGACCTCTTGAGCCAAGCCTGTCTCTTGCAGCGCCGGGGCAGCAAGAAGGGCTCTGTGGACATTGAGAAGATCACCTGTGTGGAGACGGTGGCACCTGAGAACAACCCTCCCCCCGAGCGGCAGGTCCCGGTGAGGAGGGTCCCGGCACTCCCTGCGTCTCTCTCCCTGTCCCCTCGTTGGGAGAACAGGGAGAGTTACCCTTCCCTGGGGTGGTGGCAGTGGGGAACAGCCCTGCTTGGCATGGGGGGCTCTGCCCATAGCATTCCAGGGGTCTGGATTGATGCAGAGCAGGGGGATGCCAAAGGCTGCGTCCCAGGGGAGGTGCCAGCAGCCAAGCACAGGATGCCAATATCCATCTCTGCCTCTCTCTTCCAGAGGAAAGGAGAGGATTACAACAACATGGAGCAGATCTCAATCATCGAACGGTTCCCCTACCCCTTCCAGGTGAGTCCTCACTGGCCTCCCTTTGCTGGGCCATGCAGGGTGTTGGGGACAGAACCCCAGAGGGACCTGGGGTCAAACATGGCATCACTGCCCCAGTGCCAGCTGTCACTCAGCTGTTTGGGGACACCCTACCTCTGCCCACACTGCACAGGGCAGCCAGATGAGCTGCTTAGATGGAAACCTGATTCCGAGCTCTGTCCTGCTCCCCTTGGTCCCCCGGCTGATGCTGGAGGGATGCTGTCTGCCGGCTGCCAGCTCAGCCCCCAGCCCAGCTTCCTGCCCCTGCTGGCACCCAGCGAGGCCCCCGGCACACCGAAAATCAGAGAAGGAAGTGGAAAGTCTCGGGGGAGGGGGCTTATTTATAACCTCTTTGTCACGGTCCCTAGAGCACCGTGCGGGGCCAGCAGGCACCGGCACGGGCTTGCCCTGCACCGGCTGCTCGGGGTGGCCACCAGCCCTGGCTCCCCCCGCGAGCCCCCTGGCCCGGGGTGCTGAGGTGTGGGGTCCTGCAGGTGGTGTATGACGAAGGGCCCCTCTACATCTTCTCCCCGACGGAGGAGCTGCGCAAGCGCTGGATCCACCAGCTGAAGAGCGGTGAGTCTGGGGGCTCCAGCTCCCTTGGCAAGCAAACACAGGCCCTCAGCTGCGTCTGTGCCTGACCCAGAGCTCCAGGCTTCCAGGGGCTTGCTGGCTCATGGTTATGTATTCCCGTGACTGTGGAGGAGGGAGCTGCCCCTGCCCCGGGTGGGGGACACTCACCTCTGTCACCCTCTAACTTCTGCAGCACCACAGCTGGCATGGCTGAGGCTTCTTGTCCTCTCACAAACCTGCTCCAAAGTAGCTCAGGCAGGCTTAGAAATTACTGGGGGCAAGAGGAAACAGCAGATGTGGCCACACAGCTGTACTGCCTTGCAAGGGGAGGGTTGAGTGCTTTAGG